CCACTTGCCCTCCTGAGGATAAAAAATTTTTTTACCCCCCTTAATGACCAGGCCTCTTTTTGCTACTCGGCGCTGCAAATTCAACTGATAATGGCGCGGTCATGCAATGCTATACCCAACAAAATTTAAGTCCTTTTTTTCACACTAATGAGGCTTTCTTTTGGTGGTATTTGATCACCTGTGCGCTTTTTATTTTCCACGCTATAAACAAAAAAAAAAAAAAAATTTGAAGAAAAACTATATTTTTTACTTTCAGCTATAAAAAATATATAGTAAACTCAAAGTTGGTTATAAATTTAGGCCAAAATGTATTCTGCTACATGTTTTTGGTAAAAAAAAAAATCCCAATAAGTGTATATTGATTGCTTTGTGTGAAAGTTACAGCGTCTACAAACTATGGTATAGATACTGCAATTTATGCCATTTTTTTGCTATACAGCGCTGCGCTAGTTTAATGGACAATTGCGCGCGGTCATGCAATATGGTACATAAATTAAAATTTATGTCCTTTTTTACACACAAATAGAGCTTTCTTTTGGTGGTATTTGATCGCCTGTGCATTTTTTTATTTTTTGCGCTATAAAAAAAAAAGGCTGACAATTTTGAGAAAAAAAAAACAATACTTTTTGCTATAAAACATGTCCAGTAAAAAAAAATTAAAAAAATCTAATTTCATCATAAATTTCAGCCAAAATGCATTCTGCGACATGTCTTTGCTAAAAAAAAAACCCAATACCTGTAAATTATTTGGTTTACTTGAAAGTTATAGCGTTTACAAATGGCGGGAAAGATACTGGGGTTTTTTAATTTTTTTTTATACTAATAATGGTGGCGATCAGCAACTTATGGCGGCAATCAGCGACTTATGGCAGAACTGCGGGACTGCGGCAGACATTCTGACACTAGGGGGGAACTGACTTGGGGTCACTGACATCCCCAGTGACACCAATACAGTGATCAGTGCAAAAAAAACAAAACACTGACACTGTACTAATGGCACTGGGGAGGAAGGGGTTAACTTTTTTTATTCACTGAAAGGGTTAACTGTGTGAGGGGAGTGTTTTTACTAGGGGGCGGGGGTGTGTACTGCAGGGGACACGCTGATTGGGAGAGAGAAACTCTTCTCTCCCGATCAGCCTGTCAGGAGCTGTCAGGGAACTGACAGAAAGCAGAGCTACTGCAGCCCTGCTCTCTGTCCGTGATCGCCGCTAATCGGCGGGACACAGCAGCCGGTAACTAACAGCTGTGACCCGGCGACTGACACCCGCGGCCATGATAGGCGGGACAGGTAGGGCGGCGGCACGCCTTGTGCGCGCCCCCTACCTGTTTTGCAAAAGCGTGTTTTAAAACGTGCTTTTTGCCCAGCCGTGCCGCCCTGCCGCTGTATTTCTACAGTGGCTGGGCGGCATGTGGTTAAGACAGGAAATGTGTGGCTGGTTGGATCACTAGGTGAATAAAAGGAAAAAAAAAAACCTAAAAAATAAGAAAACTAATGCAGCCACCACATCTAAGGATTGATAAGCTTCAATATATTAAATTTTTGTTTTTGTGTTTAATACCACTTTAACCTCCCTGGCGGTTTTCCCGAGTGTAGCTCGGGGTAAAATTTCTATACCACAAGCGGTAACCCCGAGCTACACTCGGGCTTACCATGCGGCGCTGCTCTGGGGGTCCCTGCAGCACTTACCTTGTCCTTCGTTCCCACGATGTGTCCCCTGCAGCGTCCCCGGCCATCTCCTCCGGCGGATGACGGCATCCGGCTTCTGTGTTCCGGTCCCCGTGACGTCGGGACGTACCGGCGGGGGCGGGAAATTTAAAAATTTTTAAAAATGTCATTTTTTTTTTTTTCAATTTTAAATAGTAAAACATTGCTGTTTCATCCCATTTCACATACATATTGTCCCTAGTGCTTTGTCCTGTGCCCTGCCTGCATTTTGTCTGTTCTTTCTGCCTGGGAAACTTAGAAAAGTCCATGGCGTCCAAAAAGCGTCCCTTTACGTCAAAAGCGGTTTTTAGACCGGCTAGAGAACAGCGATAGTAAATCAGAACCACTTACAGAATTGAGTGATAATGATTTGTGGGGAAATTTTCCTAAAAATTACAGCCTACAATAAAAAAACTATTTCCATGCGAAAAAATGGTACCGCTTTCAGCACAAAAAATCGGAAGGAATCATACCGTCAAGGAGGTTAAGGACATCATTCACTTCCTGCATATTATTGATGGACTATGTGTACTGACTGAGGCCTTAATGGTTCACTGTCAATGTGGAGACACTAAACAATAGCAAGCACATCAACAGGACATTAATATTGTTAGTATTTTTTTTACAGCAATAGACTCAGGAACAATTGAACTACAATGCCTTCATTTCCGGGCATTGGGTTTCATATTACATCATAGTGTTTTCAGTTTCGGGGTCCACTTCCTCAAGATAGGGAGTTGCTATAGGCAAATGTTGTGCTTCATTCTATGTGAACCTCTATATAGGGGATGGGAGCACCAGATTTTCTTCAATGATGTTGATGTACCTATGCCACATTTTATATGCTGTTTGCTGCCTTGCTCAATAAAACTGTAAGCCAAACTTGCTTGGACTGGTCCTGACAAAATCTGACTAATCAGCTACTGCAAGAAGTGAACTGCTTAACCACCTAACAGATGCAACAGCTGACTGAAGCCCACCAGGCCTAATTAAAGGGAAAGCAAAAAGTTAGGCTCTGTATCTGCTGCTGTACAAATTGGCTATCAAAAAGGTAGATAGTGGCACAGGGGCCAACATCTATGCATAGACGGCTGGTGCAGAGCGCATTACGTAAGAGAGAGTCTCTGAACATGAAAAACTACCCAAGGAGCAGAGATTGGCTGTTCTAGCACCATTTTTTTGGGCAGGCAGACTCCAGGATTGCCCTAGGATGCTTTGCTTTCCAATGCACTTCTTCGCATTGACATTATCAGGGGAACCCACATCATTGTGCCGAAATGTGTTGGAAAGAGTCTGAGCCATCCTGTTGAGAGAAAGCTGTCTTCGGGAAAGCTAAGCCTGTACACTAATTGATGACATACCTTTTCACAGTGTAGTAGTGCCACTCTTCTCAGAGCCTTTTATAAGTGGTTTGTATCTGTTTCTCATGTGAATGCTATATTTTATTTCTTTTAAAATAAAATGATAGCAGTGAGCTCCATGTCTCCTCTCTGACTCTATTGCACTTTGCATTGTGACATTTATCCTTAGAACCCTGAGTTTTCTGACCAGCGTGTGCTACTGGGCCAATTCTCTGAAGGCTTGTTGATCTTGGTCTTCTTTTGAGCTGCATTATTTGTGGGTTACAAGTACTGACTTCATCTACCAGCACCCACCTGGGATTTGATTTATTTAAACATGTATATATGTCCTTTGGGGTGGGGGTCATATATCAAAGGTGAGAGAGTCCTCAACAGGGGAAAAGGTGCACCATTTTCACTGGTTGCAATATTTGATTTTTGGACTGCTTGCACAGTCTTTATCACTGTTTCCACATAGCACATGTGGTATTGTATTTAATATTGGAATGTTTAACCGGTTGCCAACCAGCCACAGTACATATACTGCGGCAGGGTGGCACCGCTGCATAAAAACATGTATATATACGTGATTTTGCATTTCGAGTAGGGGGCGCACGCAAGGCGCGACCGCCCTACCCTCGCTGCCAATCGCGGCCGCGGGTGTCAATCACAGGGTCCCAGCCAGTGAAAACCTGCTGGGTCCCAGCGATTGCCAGCAAACGCTCTGCTCTGCTCCCTGTCAGTTTCAAGCACACTGTTCCAGAAAGCAGAGCTTAGCTTTTCGGGACATCGTGTTCCTGTGAAGAACACCCCCCACCCACTAGTAAAACACTTCCCTCACACAGTTAACCCTTTGATTGCCTAAAAATGTTAACTTCTTCCTGCCCAGTGCCATTAGTACAGTGTCAGTGGGTTTTTTTTTGCACTGATCACTGTATTGGTGTCACTGGGGATGTCAGTGACCCCAAGTCAGTTCCCCCCATGTCAGAATGTCTGCCGCAGTCCTGCAATAAGTCACTGATCGCTGCCATAAGTCGCTGATCGCCACCATTATTAGTGTATATATATAAAAAAAAAAAATTCCAGTATATATAACCGCCATTTGTAAACGCTATATCTTTGACGTAAACCAATTAATTTACATGTATTTGGATTTTTTTTAGCAAAGACATGTCACAGAATACATTTTGGCTGAAATTTATGACAAAATTTGATTTTCACATTTTTTTTACTGGACATGTTTTATAGCAAAAAGTCCAAAATATTTTTTTTTTTCTCAAAATTGTCGGCATTTTTTTTTTATAGGGCAAAAATAAAAAATGCAGAGCAATCAAATACCACCAAAAGAAAGCTTGATTCATGGGGAAAAAATATGTAAATTTAATTTTGGTGCAGAGTTGCATGACCGCACAATTGTCAATTAAAGTAACGCAGAGCTGTAACACAAACTACTTCTGTAACCGCTTCCTGACCGTCCTATAGCAGAAATATTGCTACAGGGTGGCACAGGTACGCAACATCACATATATATATATAAATATATATATATATATATATATATATACGTGATTCGCGCTCCCGTGGTTTCACTCCCCTCCCAGATAGCAGAAGCCTGTCAGTACACCAGTAATTACATTTAAACCCCTTGATTTCCAGGAAGATGCTCATACACAATAAACCTCCATTGCTAGCATAGTGTCTGAACGGATTAATAGCTTTGATCAGATCAGCACTATACCAGCGTTCACATAAGTATAGCGTCCCCAGAAATGCAGCATTAGTGGGATGAGCCCCAGCACCTGCCAACCCCTGCATCTAGCCCCTACGCTTACCTCCCCCCCTTCTCCCCCAGCAAGTGCAGTGTCAGTAGGTCACTGTCACTTGATACATTGTACACAAAACCGCAGTGTTGGCAGAATCAGGCCGATCTCTGTTAGCACTTGTCGGTAAATTTTGATGACTCTCATATGCAGCAGAGTGCCAGTACTAGTGCTGCGCTACCTTTTGGTGAACTAGCGAGCACAAGTGGCCTAGTACATCCTGGTCTTTCACATACCTCCTTAGCTTTGTAAGTTCCCAGGATCAGGCCCTCCTAACCCTTTTGTATTGAACTGTATTGTTGCTGTATTGTCTCCCGTTATATTGTAAAGCGCTGAGCAAATACTGTTGGTGCTATATAAATTCTGTATAATAATAAATAATACCAGCACTGCAGTATCACTTGGTGATGTGGCGAGTCCCATAAGTGTAGTATCAAGCTGGTGCTGGTGGCAAGCACAAGTATTGTCCCACAGCCACCAAGAATTCGCACAAAGGCCCATAGATCCCCTAGTATCCTTCCGGATGTGCTTGCAAATCCCGATAGGCAGCCCACAAATTCTTCCCCCATTCACTGCCCAACCTGGAATTCAGGTGGAAATAGCAAATTTAACTCCTCCCCTTGATTTTTTTAGGAGCTGTTGTTTCATGAATGATCTGTATGCATCGATTGTGGATCAAAGCAATTTATATGCGCAACAAATTTATTCCAGCCTCCAACCCAAATTCAAACCTTGCCAGACCATTAGCATGGAAACCCATTAACGGTTTCCAAATTTAAATTTTTTTTTTTGGGCCTAACCCTAACATGGCATTACTAAAAAAATGAATTGCGATTGTATTGGTCCACAGACCCCATTCATAATATGCCCTTGTTCTCTCTGTTGCCATGGCGAGGCATAGCTATGAGAGTGTAATGTGTTTTATCATTTCAACGACAATACACTCTGTCATCCTCGGGGTGACCCTGATTTTTGACCAGCTCCACAAAATTCAGACCCTCACCTTAACCTAAAATTTTGAAGATGTCTATACTCCCGAGCAAAAAATCTTGGTGTTAATAAGTCCCTCATTAATTTTTCTGGCCGCCTTGCATACAAACAATTTCTCCCCTGCAAGCGTGCCAGATATGGGGTCAAGATGTAGAAGATCTCAGGTGTTTGGCTGAAGGGGGCGGAGCCCGAACATGGCGGCACAGGAGAGCGGAGTATAGGAACTCTCCGATAGCCTCCCCCACCTATCCTCCCTAATTGTCCCGAGAGACTGACAGCTGAAGGGCGGCTGGAGCTGAGTCGGAATTGGCGGCTGGAGACTGACCTGAGGAGGAGGGGAGATCCCGGGGGTGTGGAGCGGGTGATGTTTGGCGGCTGTTGACCGGAGAGTAGAGAAGCGGGCTGTGGTTGATGGTTTGGATGTGGTTGTTTGGGGAGTTCGAGCGTGTCCTTCCCCTATGAACTCTGCAAGCGGTGATCCTGGGGAGGAAGAGTGTGAGAGTTGCCAGGAGACAAGGAGGAGTGGCGATACCACGTGGGCTGCCGAGGTGTACAGCTGGGAGAGAAAGAGACCGGCCGGACGTCTGTCTTAGGAGGGCAGGGGAAGAGCCCGACATTCACAGCAGAGCTGTCTCCAGGGATATCTCGGGGTATATGCAGAGGAGGACAAAGAGACCCAAGGGAATTCCCTGGAAGAGGAGGACAAGGCAGCAGGAGAAAGGGCATCCCAGGACTGCAACCTCGGAAGCTACTACAGAAGTGAGTGAGAGCTGTGAGGTCTCCCCCAATTGTTAGTGTTAGTTTTTCAAGCTGTGCTACTGACCAACTGACATCCAACATAAAGAATAAGAAGGGAAATTCCCAGAGAGGGTCTGAAGAACGCAGTGACAGCTTTAAAAGTATATACCCCAGAATCTTGAAAAAGTTCTAATAATCTTATATGCGACATGAAAGGGAAAAATAGCAAAGGAAATATGCCTAAGAACTCCCAAACTGGAACAATATAAAAATACACGTCGCAGGGGAAAACTAACTCCAGTAAAAATCCAGGAAATAAGTGATAGAATGAACTGGAAATAAGCTTAGACAATAGCTTAAGATCTTCCCCTGGGACCAGCTAACAATAGCCAACAAACACTGGAAAGTATGGAGTTAGGAGAAACTGAAAGAGAACTGCAAGTGCCAAATAAAAAAGGAAATGGCGGAGAATGTTTGGAAAATTTAGAAAAATCTATAAAGCAAGAGAATGGGGATAATTCGGAAAGAAATGGGACAGTTTGCTATCTAGAGTGAAGAAAAACGGAGGAAACAGTTAAACTCCCATACCCCAAATTATCCCAAAATTAGAAAAACTGATATTAGATACTCGGAAGGAACAAAAAAAGACTGCTTTATATGATGGAGGATCAAGAAAATAGGGACAGGAGAATAAACATATAGAATAAGAGGAGTCCCAGAGCTGCAACAGGGGAAGATCTAAAGGAGATCACAGGAAAAATTTTGAATGCCATAATGGACAGACCTGGTGCGGAAATGTATAAATTAGACGGTATATACAGGATAGGAAAGCTTCAACAAGAAAAAGCTCCAGACAAATCAAGAGATATAATCGTTCGGTTCCATAATTATAGAGATAAGGACGAGATAGATGGAGGAAGATTAAAGGAAGAACGAATATCAATTATGGGGAGGGAAAATATGATCCAAATTTTTGCAGACATAAGCAGCCGAGACATTGAGAAGAAGAGAATCGTTGAAGACCATGTATTGGAACATGTTGAAGAATCAGAATGTGCAATATAGATTGGGCGACTCGATCAGCATGCTTAATTGGATGGAAAGATGGAGTCACAGCTTTTTTTGCGATCCTCTGAAGATATGAAGACTTTTGGTAATAAATTTGAACTGCAGAGAATTAGAGATACCGGGATGGAAAGGAGGAGGAGAGATAGAGAGTTATTTATGTTGGGAAAAGAAGAATGGCAGCTAGTTTAGAAGAGAAAACAGAGAACAAATAGATAGAGGGACACTGGGGAGGAGGGGGGGAAGGTGAGCGGTGCAATGGATGGAGCTGAGCCCCCAGATAGGAATCAAAAGTGGGACTCTCTCTCCACAGATGATTTATAGGCAAATAAAGAAACAACCTATTAGGGGGGAGGGGGAGGGGGGAGGGGTTCGTGGTGTTGGAGGGTAAGGGGAGAGAGGGAGGTGAGAGTGGGGTGATGGAGGGGGGGGGAGAGGGGGAGGAGAGAAGAGGAGGTCGGGATTGGGATAGGGGTGTGAGTTTCAAAACTGACATCAGGTACGAAGAGAAGATGGTATAGGGAAGGAAAAGAGGAAAGGAAATGGTAAAATAGGAAGAAGGTAAATAAAATATGGAGGAAATAAGAAAATAAAACCCGCTTCGTGACCCATAATGTAAATGGATTAAACTGCCCAGGTAAAAGATTTCAACTATATAAGAGAACTACCTACACATAGAGAGGCCTCAGTTGTTATTTTGCAGGAAAAACATCTAAGTGTTAAAAAAAAAATTAAAGTTATACAAAGAGATAGACAACACCCGACATGGTATTCATGCAGATTCCCTAGATAAGATGAACTAAAGGGAGTAGCTATAGGATTTGCAAAAAAATATCAGATTTGAACTGGAAGAGAGAAAAGAACAAGACCTCCGGAGGGGAGGTATTTGTTTTTTGAAGGGTAAATTACATGACATAGAATTACGCTTGTTAACTAAAATTGCCCTAATAAGAAGCCAGAGATGTTTTTGAAAGGGGTTATGAGAAGATTGAATGGATTTTGGGAAAGGGATATCTAATAGTGGCGGGTGACTTTAATATATGTATGGATCCACAAAATAGATACAACATCTGGAGCACAGAGAGGGGAAATAGGTCCAGAAGGGGACCATTGAAAGAAGGGTGATGAAAAGTGCCCAACTGGTGGATAGCTGGAGAATTGGTCCACATGAGAGAGAGAGATTAATTTTCACTTTCTTCGCTAGTGTACATAGACATACTCTAGACTAAATTTTGCTGGACCAGACGTACATGTGAGGATTTGGTTAAAGCAGAAATAGAAGCAAAAACTATCTCGGAACCATGCACCTGTTAGTAAATGGAATTAAAATGGGAGGGATAAGGGTCAGGTGGTTTTATCAAGGAGGTTGAATGAGACACTCTCACAGATCCAGATACTGACCAGGAAGATCAGGAGTGATAAGATAAAAGTTCCCTTTAAAATGAGGAAAATGAAACAAGAGGATACAACTCAACTAGTAAGAGATAGTGGAAGAGTCACATAAAGCATGTAGTAAGAGCGAATAGAAATTGCGATTGGGGCAAAGAAAAACACCAGGAAAGAATGCTGAGAAGATCAGCGGACTTTTGAAGGAAAAGCTGAGAAGGAACTCAAAATATACATAAAGAATGACATAAGGGTGAGAGAAGAGCAAAGATGATGAAAAAAGAGAGAAAGAACTAAGAAGAAAAGTAATGTAGGAAGAAAAATGGAGAATATACTTTGGAATAAGACATTGAGATGAAAGATATAGAACAGGGAGAGACTAGACCAGGAAAATATATGATGAAAGAGCCTTGAGGAGAAAGAAGAATAAGGAATATGTCATATAGATAAAAGTATAAAAACTCCAAAGGGAGAGTTAGTCCATTTCAACGCAATGATATTGCAAAGTGTATTTGAAAAATTACCCCCCCTAAGTAAATTATAATAATAGCCTTGCCCCTAAGGATGTATTAAATACCCCCCGATAAGTGACAAACATATTGGATAAAAGAAGGGATTATTTAAGAACTGCAGGATGACCAAATTGAGAAGGGTACTATTAAACTTTCCTTAGAATCCCCCCCGAAATCACGCGAAAGAAACTAAAATTAGCAGTAAAAAAGCTTTAGAACGGATAAAAAGCCCTCAGCACAGATGGATATACTGTGAGGTATTATAAAAGGAATAACAGTGATTTACTTGCTACCTAAACCCCCCCCCGAGATATATGGACGGCGACCATGTGGGAGAGATGCAAATAAGATAGGAACCCCTTCCTTGGCACAGGTGGACCTAATACAAAGGAAGGAAAAGAGAACACCTCATTGTGCAAGTTATTAGGACCGATATCGCTATTGAACTGTAGATACGGAATTTGTAATGCAAAAGTTATTAGCTGAATCCTTAGTTTATGGATATCACCCCATGCCCCAGATTGGATCTCATTGGGACCAGGTAGGCTTTGTTAAGGAAGAGAGTGGTCGAGATATCATGGGTTTACATGGTCCCCCACGATGCTTATACAGAAAAGTAAATGGAAAAGATAACGAAAGTTCCCAGTAGTGCAGCTCTCGATAGTGCCCACGGAGGAAGGCGTTTGTAAGGGATAACTAGGTAAAGGAAAAGAAAGAATGACAATTGTTTTTTGATGGAGTACCTGACGGGTCCTGGGACTGGCTAGAAAGATGAGAAAGTGGTTTGAAGATTGTTACTGAAGACCGTCTGCGATGGGAATGAGTGTAAACGAGAGAGATCAGAGACCAGTTTCCAATTGTACAAATGAACCAGACAGGGATGCCCACTGTCCCCAATGTTGTTTGTTTTATCACTGGAACCCCTGTATCAACAATTA